TGTTTTCAGAGGGCTGTAAACATTATATAACATGTTGTCAAGGCCATTGAGGATGTACTTTCTGCATAGGAAATCAGAATGTTTCCAAGCATCTACAGCGGTAACAACTTGCCGATCACTTTCATCCTCTCTAAGTACTGGAGCCTCTTCACGGAGACACTGGGCCAAATTTAGAATTGTAAGATAAAATAGCATTTTCTGCTACCATCTCTTAAACTTAGTGCCATTAAATTTTTCCGGTACTTCTCTATGATTTATCGAAACTTGAACATGGTTCTGGAAAGGGACCAGAGTCGTTGTAACGATCGAATTTAGAGTATTACTTTCAACCGCCATAATATCTAAAAACCAAAACAATTTTATAATACAGAAAATAAATTATAAAACCAAAACAAAAATTAATTTTCTAGTTACTAAAACCAGAAAATAAATTATAATACAAAATAATTTTATTTTCCTTGTTACTAAAACTAGAAAAATAAAATACCATAATAATTTTCTGCATCACAAATTAATATTCTGCAATTGTTAATGACACCAGTATATTACTACCAGTTGTCAAAGAAAATAAACATTCTATTACTACTATTTGTCAAACAATATATTACTACTATTTGTATTTTCCAACCAGAATATCACTTTGTGAAAGCACAGAAAAATAAATACAATGAAGACACCAAAAAAATATTTTGTCTTAAGATTGTTGGACAATCTTCACTGTATTTAAAAAATAAATTTTGTTTGCGTACTTACTACAAACAGAATACAGAAGAAACAAAAGAAATAAGAGAGTTTGTTTGATTACGAAAATCAAACCAAAAAATAAAATAAAATAAATAAAACAGATTTTTATTTTGTTACAAAAACAAAATCAAAATTTGAAACAAAAATAAAAATAAAAATAAAAATAAAAATAAAAATGAAACAGAAAAAGTAAATTAATTACTTACCAAATTAAATTGTTGAACAAATTTTCTGATCAAGCCCAGTGTTTAATACTGTGTCCTTAAGACAGATTCATCCTCTCCACGGTGCTTTCAGATTGTGGACGTCTATCTCCCAGGTTTGATCAAGTCCAGTGTTTAACACTGTGTCCTTAAGACAAATTTGTCTCCTCCACGGTACTTTCAGATTTTCGAACGTCTATCTCCAACGATAAAATGATCAATAACGAATAAATGCAGTACTACAATTTATTCGCACAACAAACACACTTTGTGTTTGCACTCTTTCTCACAGAAAATTAATGTAATTAATACAACAAAATGCAGAGATGAATGGCAGCAGAGAAGAACAAAAATTGGAGTCAAAAATCCAAATGAGGGACTGCCTATTTATATAGGAAAATGGTGGCTGTTTGGTTTGAATCCAACATGTATAGTACCTGTTCGGTTTAAATTAAACAGATACAAATATGTTTGGATTTAAATTAAATAGGTAAGGGAGAGAACTGAATCTGTTCGGATAGATTCAAAATTTGTACAGAAAGGTGCAAATTTTCTAACCAAAATTTGAATTTTAATTTCCGACTAGAATTTGAAATAAAAAGCAGACATATTTTATTTCTAAATAAATAAAATAAATTCAAATGTTTCTAACCCAAAAAGATAAGTATTGGGTTGGATAAGCCCAACCCAACTTCATACTAGCGCCCAAGCCTTGGCCTAGCCCGGATGGCGGCGGCGCGTATGTGCTTATTTTGGGTCCAATGGGTCTAGCCCACTTTGCCTATAACCTCCCTCTCTACAAAACTTGGGTGTCCCCAAGTTCCAAACTCAAGCCTTATAAACCCACTCAAAGTTTGCCCACCAAATTAATGTGGGACAAGCCTTAAACCAAATCTTTAGGAAATTTCACAAAAAACACCATTTCCATGGAGTTCTCTTTGGCTTCAATTTTTCATTCACCCAATAATGGTTTTGAGCAACCAAATATACCACGTGAATCACAACGCGGCATAGAACGCGTTACCACTTAGACCCACCAACTTTGGCGTATGGGCCCCACCTAAAAAATAGACCAAAGTTAAGGAAACATCATATTTTCCAAAACCATTTCTAACAGTTCCAAGGTTAGTTACAAATTTTTTTTCTTCATTTCTTGTCAGAACTTTAGTTGTACAATTTGTGAGGCTTTTGGTTTTGCTTCTATTGTTGTTGTTGTTGTTGTTGTTATTATTCTGTGATTGGCCCCATATTCATCAGTTTCAGATTTGATGGGATTCTGTAATGAGAATGAGTGTAGACTTGCAGGATCTATTTCTATATGTGGCATTTTTGTATTATAATCCTTTTCTTCTTGTGGTTAGTGAATTCTATCTAATTTATTTATTTTTTGTTGAATTAGTTTTTGTTTTTTTTTTTCTTTCCTTGTATCAACACATTTTCTTTTTGCTATGGTGATGTAGACTATGATGGTTTGGCTTTGGGGAGTAAATTTATGGGTCTTTGCCCTGGCTAATGTCCCTTATTCTAAAATTTTTGACCTTGATCAAAATCATCTTACTCGCAGAGAAATATGGAAGGTACCTATATTTAATCATTCAATTCAGTCAATCACCAAAAAAGATAAATAAATAAATAAATCTCTAGTCTAGTGGTTGGCTGGATTTTAACAATGGATTTCAATTTGAGTTATATAATTATTTATTTGCTAACATAAAAATCATGTGCATTGTCTAGCAAATGACATGTCCAAACCTGTACTTGGATGAACCCTGCTCCTTAACACATACCTTCAGCAAAGCTCTATTTTGCATAGCTATATGTAATACATGTATTTCAAATCTACTTCTATCATTCTTTTACACTATTGGCTTGAGCCATAGGTGTTAGCAACTTTGTATCTCTAGATATGTGCAAAAACCTTTTTCCCCCCATAATCAACTTCTGGCACATGGCAAAAGACATCATGTGCTGGGTTGTTAATATTGGTAAAACAAAGAAAACTTACCCTATCCTGTTAAATAACTATTTATAGTTTGGTTTTGTTTGTTTAGGCTGCCTAAGTGAAGTTTTAATTCTTTACCGGATGTTTGTGACTTTGGTGTTCAAGTATTGTTAGTGTGAATGCATATAATGTTGATTCACAGGATTATGCTATCAAGAAAGTCATGTTGCATTTGTCTTCGTCATTTTTCCTTTTTATTTTTATTTTTTAAGAAATCTGTTTCTTAATAAAAGCTTCATCTCTGTCTCATCTTCCCTATCAATTGAAAATTGCCTATGTTCATTGTTTTTATTGTGTTTCATCTGCGTGACCTTCTCAATCTCCATTAGGTGATCAGCTAGCAATAGCAAAGGAAACAGGATGATGTTTGGGAATGGGAACTAATATGTATCCATCATCTGCCTTGTTAGGACAAAACAAGGATGAGTCAATTTCAGCTTTACCAATTGATGAGTTGATTGAAAAGGCTGATGGTTTTGCTGGTGTTTTCCCCGGTAATTTTTCTTTTCTTTCCTTTTTATACTTTGTTCCTTTAGTAAGTTGAAATGTAATATAGTTAAGTTATGTGCACAACAAAATGCTGAACTATCAGATTAAATGTTCACTGAGCAATTTTGTGGTTCTTGTTTGATTGGCCATAATTTATTTGTTGGCACGGAGCACAAATATGAGATTGTAAGACATCTACAAGCTAGAAAACATATATGCGAAATGACTGGTGATGGGGTTAATGATGCTCCTGCTCTTAAAAAGGCTGATATAGGCATAGCTGTTGTTGATGCAACTGATGCTGCTCGTAGTGCTTCTGACATAGTCCTGACAGAACCTGGCCTTAGTGTTATCATCAGTGCTATACTAACAAGTTGAGCAATCTTCCAGAGGATGAAAAATTACACTGTAAGTTTGGGTTTTGATCATGAAGTTGTCTAACACCTAAATTTAGCCGAGTACAAGTTACTTTTTGAGTTGGGTTACATCCAACTGTACAATACATGTGGAATATCATCACCCCATGTGAGGGGTGATCCTCCATGTGCTGCAAGAGTGCAAAGCCAACAAAGATGTGTTGGCCATGTGAAAGAAGATGCAACATGTGGAGAAAGAGCTGGCCATGTGCATGGACAGCCAAGCTCTCCCTCTGTTAGTGTATAAATGGAGGTTGTGGTGAGAGTTTAATAGAGAGAGTGAAAAACAGAGCAAGTCAGAGAGTGAGATATGTGAGGCGGAGAGACCGTCTCCCTCGGTGTGAGCGAGGGAGACGGGTGAGTGGGTGAGTGAGGAGAGTGTGAGCTCCTCCTCTATTGTAATCTTTCTGTAATATCTCCATTGTTATAGTGATAACCGGCTACTCTCCCATGGACATAGGCATTGAGGCCGAACCACGTTAAATATTGTGTCTCCTTGAGTGTGGGTGTGTTTTTCTGCATGGAATAATTTCTATAAAGTCTTGGGCGGGATCCCAGATCCCAACAATACATCCATGAAACATAATCAGTTATTCTTCACAGTAACCATTAAAAACACATTTTTGGGAGCAATATGTCTCCCTTCTTACATTTTTTCTTGCCAAAACTCCACTTTCTCTAAATTTTAATTGATTTAAATACTTTTTCCTCCTATGGATGGCTAAAGTTCAAGACACCACCTTGTTAAGAGTATTTTGTGTTTCGGTATGGTTTATTTAGTGGCTTTTTGGATTTTTATGAAAATATGTGTAAAAAAGTAGAGAGGTGATGTTATAACTTGTAGCAATAAGCCAATAAGCAGCTTATTTAGGTGGTTATTATGTAAGTGAAAACCGCTACTGCTTGCTCCTATATAAATAGTCGTGAATTCCATAACATTTCTGAAGCATCCATTTTTTTTAAAAAAATATAAATTTAATGCTAGAGTTGTTATGAATGGGTTTTCATATGGGAGACTGCTGCTTGGAAATTTTTAAAGAATGAGGAAAAAGAGATAACAGCAAAAATCATGTTTGGTGTGGAATCTGCCACTTGGCAAAAAATGGTGGAGAAGAATAAACTGCTAAGGTAGAGTGGCCTAGTTGGATCGTAATTGAATTTGAAAAGGATCTTAGGAATAAGGGTCATGCGCATCATATGGGAACCCACTTTGGTTTCTTCTTGGCATATCTGCCTATGTGCATTTCTCTCATAATATTTTCTTTTTAGCAGCTTAATTTTATTTTTGATAAGTTGGTAGTTGGTGTTTCTAGGTGGAATTGCTTCTTTCTTTCTGTGTGGAGATGGGCTTTTCTTCAGTTATACTTGTTGGTCACGATGCTGGAGGCCTGCTTACCTTAAAAGCTGCACAGAGCCCATGCTTCACCAAATTCTGTCAATGTGAGTACCACCTACTTGGTTTTATGTGTCAATCACACATCTTTGAATTACTGAATAATGAAACCATTATCTTGCCTCAAATCATTTCCTGCAATTTTTTAAGATTTATGCATCACAAGAATATTAATCTTATTTTGTGATTAGGTGGGACATGATTTGAACCTGCAGTCCGCTCATGGAAAAAGGACCCCATTTTTTATTTTATTTTTAGTCCTTTACTTAAAAAGAAATTTCTTGAAAATCAGTTCCCTTTATAATATTCATGACAAAAGGGGTATCTTTTCTCCATCCATTTCCCCAACAAATGACTTCTTCCTTGACAAATGGCTTTTCTTCTTTGCTCCCACTTGTGGTGATCAAATCAATTGATTAACAAACCTTGTTTGTGAGTGATCTTCAGATAGATGACATGACCTTACTAACTAGACAAGCCTGGCTTATTTAATAGGTTTGACAATGCTTAACTGTTCTTTAGGTTGTGATAAATTGTAGTTGCCTGCTTTAGAGCCAAAATGAGATAATATTATGCAAGCGTATGCAACCTCTTGGGTATTTGGAAGGTTTTTGTTCTTATTTTTCTGTTTTTGGTCATTCATTATCTAGGTGGATATCAAGGGGGTGGTATTACTTAGCGCAAGCTTGTCAAGGGAAGTGGTTCCTGGCGTTGCTAGAATACTCTTGCATACATCACTTGGGAAGAAACACTTAGTTCGTCCTTTGCTGCTGACAGAAATTAGTCAAAGTGGTTAATCGGCGTGCATGGTATGATGCTACCAAACTAGCAATAGAAGTTTTAAGCCTATACAAGGTATGTCCACTTATTATGAAAATTATGCACCAATTTTGCTTAATTCAGCATGTCTTGGCACCAATTTGTTAAACCACTTAGCCTATCTGAAGATACAATTTGCTTTATATATTCATGATGGAGTGTACATAAAGGCTGTTGAATTACTGCATATGAGATCATTTTTCGCTGAGATTTGAAAATTGTGGCCACTTAGTGAAGATACAAGTATTATGTTAGGTGCTCCTTTCAAATAGGGGTGGAGTTAGGATTTTTTCCAGACCTGTTCAACTCATGTTAAAATTGTGAATTTAATAAACACCATTTTTAGACAAATAAACATAATACAATGAACTAATCAAATATATGGTTTTTAATTTTACAGAGTGTAAGCTGATTCTTGGACACAGTATTTTTTTTTTGTGTGATTAGGTAGTGGAACTCTTTGAAGAAAAGTGTGAGGTGTTCCCTGTTTGTAATTGTAAAATTCATCATATTGATGATCTAAACAAAAATATGATGTTTATATGAAAAAAGACAGGATAAGTATCTTTTGGTTGCATTTGGATGGATCAATTATTTTCTTAAATAATTAAGTCCAAATTTTACTATAACTAAGTTGTTGGTTATAGTGAAATTTCTATTGAACTTGCAATTTCTATGGGTAAAGTGACATTTTGTTTTTACATGCTTCATGTCATACTAGAGGTATTTAATGTTAAGACATTTGAAGGGGTGTGATTAGTCAGACTTTATTTTTTATAAGACTATAACAATTTCTACAAATAGTTAGTTCATTCATATGCTTCTAGTGATTTCTGAATTAATTTGTGTTTTTATTTTTCAAGTCAGAAATTTCTTGGAGAGATGCAAAATATGGTCAAAGAATTCAAGAATTTAATTTTTCAAATTTTTTCATTTTTTAATATATGTAAGTATAGTTTAAAACTTTTTATTTAATTCATTTGTATATACTTTTGAACATATTTAACTTTCATTTATGAAATATATGATATTATTCTATTCAATATGGGGTTGTGATTCAAAGTATAGTATGTAGTGTGTATTACATTATTGAAATGCGCGTATAAAAATAATATTGATTATTCTTCAAATATGTCAAACTTTTTTTTTATCACACGCATTACTGTGATGAAAAATGCATATAACGTATGATCTTATCTCATTATTAATCACATGTTTTATTAAATATTAATTACACTTAAAATTTGTGATCTAAATATCACAGGTTTTATTAGTAATTAATCACACTTAAAAAATATAATCTAAATGTTATTAATCACACTTAAAAAATATGATCTAAATGTTATTAATCACACTTAAAAAGATGTGACCTAAATGTTTATTATCACATGTTTTATTAATTATTAATCACATTTAAAAGATGTGATCTAAATGTTATTAATCACACTTAAAAGATGTGATCTAAATGTTTATTATCACAAGTTTTATTAGTTTTTAATGACACTTAAAAGATGTGATCTAAATGTTATTGATTACACTTAAAAGATGTGATCTAAATGTTATTAATCACACTTAAAATGTATGATTAAAAATGACCATCAAAGATCACACTTTGATAAAACTTAAAAAGTGTAATTAAATAACATAGATCACACACAAAAAAAAAAGGTGATATTTATCTTTTTTTTGTAGTAGTGATCTTTTGTAATTATATAAAGAATATATCCTAGACAACCCTGATAGATAATTAATTCGGGCTTTATGAGTTGATTTGTTGAATTTTGAATTTAAAAAAAAAAAAAGTTGTTACAAAAAAATTCAAATTGTTACAATGGAATGTTAAAATTATAGAAGGTATAATAAAAAGTGGGGGAAATTATTTTTAACAAAAACTAAAATTTGACTCTTTTAACAAAATAATTTTTAAATTTTAAATTTTTTAAATTTAAATCCTAAATTTTTTATTTGTTTTTTTATGTAAATTTGACTATTTTCGTTAAGTAAAATCTATGAAAAAAATAATATTTTAGTTATTAAAATTAATGTAAAATGATATTGTAGACATTATATATATATATAATATATATATATATATATATATATATATTTACATTGAGTTTAATAAATATATTTTTTTATTGATTTTATTTAACGAAAATAGACTGATCGATTATATTGAAAATAACTCAAAAAATTATAATTTAAATTGACTAGATTAAAAATTTATTTTGTTACAATGATCAAATTCGAATTTTTTATTTTATTTTTTTTGTAATTCCTCTTAAAATGTAGCACTTGTGTCCTTCAAAGCTTTTGGGAAGTGTATTTGAATCATTTATTTTATTTTGGGAATCTTTGGGTTGTTTAATCTTAGTTTTGGAGGAGTATAAATTGATTTAAACTTGTTGGGAATTGCTCGTTCACGCTTGTTTACGTTGAAAAGTTGTTTGAGAATCTAAAATTCTTGTTCTGGGGTCGACACCGGTCTTGGTGGTGTCGACACCTTCCTTTTGTTATTGGTCTCAAAGGTCGACACTAGTCTGGGAAGGGTTGACCCTTGTCTTGAAATTGATTGTTGAAATTTGGTGTTGACACCAATCTGGGAAGGGTCGACACCTTGCATGCTGTCAAACATAAGTGTTCTAGCTTTTCTTCATAAAGGTCGACACCTTTGCTGCAGGTGTCGACACCTGCGAACTTTTTCCCAGATTTTTAGTCAGTTTGGGCCCTACTTTTTAGGGATTTTGACCAGATCTTTTGGGTTGACTTTGGGATTTATTTTTATTTTGACCTAGTATTATAAATAGGTCCACCACTTAATCTTTTTTTTACTTTTCCTTCTCCTTTTCCCCTCTAAACTGTGAAACTCTCTTTCTCTCAAAAAGCACTTTTTTTCACTCAAAGATCCTCAGATCTACTCACTTGGAGACCTCACCTCGGCTTGCTCCTTTGAGAGTAATTTTAGAGCTTGTTGAGGGCTTCATTTTGATTGGAGCAAAACGTCATTTCTCCTTCGTCGACTTTTGGGCTTTTCTTCCTTCTCCCTCTTCTAAGGAGGTAGGGACTTTTTATACTCTTGTATGATTTTTAACTTGGGTATTTGATGATATTGCAAATAAAGGTTGGGATTTGGGTGAATTTAGACAAACCTAGGGTTTTGGTTTAAAATAAAAAAGAGGATTTTTCAAAGTAAATGTGTTAAAATGTTTATGGGTATGGATATGAGGTTGTATTGTATCAAACTTATTGATTTTGGCAAACAGATTGTACTTGGGAGGAAATGGGGTGTTGTCTTAAAATGTTTTAAACGGTTATTTTGTATAAATCATGAAATTGGTTCAATAAAGGTAAAATTGGTTAGATGTGTATGTCAATGGTGGAGTTAGAAAATTTTCGTTTCTTATCGATGGACATATGGATAGTTTATCTATTGTGAAGTTTGTGTAACCGCTTAGAAATATTTGTTTTTGGCAATCGGTGGAGGATAGCTATGATTGTTGTAGAAATTGCATGTGGACTAGGTTAATTGAAATTAATCTTTTGTTGGTTGTCATTGAATATGACTATGTTTATATACATTGTATATATGTATGATTATTTGGAAAGAGAAAGGGGATGTACTCCATGTGTGATTATGTGTTTGTATACATTGTTTATGTATGAATGATTGTTTGGGACAAGAAAAGGGATGAACTCCATTATAATTAAGTTGGTCAGAGTGTCCTGGGTGAAAGTCTCGAAATTATACATGAGTGCTTAGCTTGCGGGCGAAATATCCATAAAATGGCAATTGTAGCGCTTGTATAGCCTACATTTACATTGGCCCCGTTTGACGGTTGCCTGTGGACGAAATATCCATGAAATGGAAGTTTGAAGTGTTTATGTGTATGTGTTGTACGATTTGAAAACCATTGAATTGTAACCTCAGTTTGGTTGTTAAGAAATAATGAAATCGATTCGTGTATTGGAATAGATTAAAGGGAAATGAAATGAAATGTGACTTCGTGTTCTATGACTATATAAAATGTGATCATTTTACTTCTGGTATTATAAAAGCACATTGCCCTTATACTGTTGTTAAACCTCATATACTGTATTAGATTATTCATGCTGGGCTGTGGCTCACCCTACTTGGGAAAAATATTTTCACGTGTTGGTGATATGCCTCCATCAAGGACTTAGCTTAGGAGGATTGTGAAGCTGAGAGCTCACATTTGTTTATTTGTATTTATTTGCCTTTTGTACATGCATAGGGCTTTATCTGTATTGAGCCTCAGACTCTTTTTGTTGTAACCAGACATCGTCTTGGAAAGTTGTAAGCTCGTAGGGCATGTTTATTCAATTTTTTTTTTATTTTTTATCTTTCTACCTCTTTTTTAATTGGAAACATATGCTATAGATTCATTAGGCTTTATGAATGTATGACGTGTATGCTTCTCTTTTGTATATCATATTGAATTAATGGAAGATAACTTTATTATTGTTGTTAACATATAATGCTCGGTGGATGGATTATTGTATTATTTTTGAGGCATGACAACTTGGTATCGGAGCGTACTGGGTTTGAATACTTTGAGCACATGGGGAGTGGTTAGTACCACGTTGGGTTTGTCTCGCTTGCTAGAGACTTAAGTATGAACAATGTGTACTTGTATGATAACATGCTTATGTGATTATATGAGTATGAGATTAAATTTCTAGGATGTTGATTGAGTCTACGAGTTTCTAGAAGTCCTATTAGAAGAGCACTTGATCACTGCTGTTTCTAATTGGAACTCTGGCAACGCCGTGGAATGGTCATTATTTGGGAATGAAATTCGTATGTGTTTATGTGACAATATGCTTATGTGGAGTGAATTATTGTTGTCCATCGCTTTAGGACGTGAGTGAGTTAGCTTCGACACATTTGTAAATGTGCTAATCGTTTCTGTTACCTTTATTAGGATGTCAGGATGTGGACGTAGTGGTGGTAGGTGTGGTAGACCTAGGAGGCACGAGATGCCTATATCAGATGAAATTCTGGCACAGGAAGAAGGGGTTGGTCAGGCCAACGTGGCCGAGCCATTAGGTCAACAGGCCATGGGCGCCCTAGCCCGTGAAATGGCCGGAGCATTGCGGGAGTCTATGGACATTCTCAGGGCTAAAAATCAAATCTAGGCCCAAGTAGCTGAAGCAGGGCCGTCTTTTATGAAAGAGGGAGTTCTTTCGGTCGAATCTTGATGAATTTTTTAGTGATCCCAAAGAGTCGTTGAAGGCTGATGAGTGGCTAGAATAGATGGTGAAGACGTTTGAGATACTCAACATCAAAGACGGGAGTTTGAGAGTGACCTTAGCGTCTTTCTAGCTGCAGGAAGATGCGGGTCAATGGTGGAAGTATGCGCGGGGGCGCATTGGAGGGACTTGGGAGGTCTTTGTCAACGCCTTCTAGGACAAGTTTCTACTTCCCACAGTTAGGAAGAAGTTGAGGGACTAGTTCTCTAAACTAGTGCAGTTGAACACACCAGTGGCTGAGTTTGAAGCCACATTCACTAGCTTGTCTAGATTTGCATCGGAGTTGGTGGTGACTGAGGAGCGTCGGTGTTTGGAGTTTGAGAAAAGGTTGAGGACCGGTCTCATGTTCTAAGTTGCTGGGTCCATGATTAGAGACTATGGACGCCTTGTGGAGGCGGCGGCCCATCTTAAGACTATCATGCAGTCAGAGGAGGAGAGGATGAGGGGCTCCAGGAGGAGTCAGGATAGTCAGGGGGATGGTAAGAGGCAGAGGGATTCTAACCCCCAACAGTCTTAGTGCATTCGACGTCTACCTCTCTAGTGCTGAGTTCGGGTTCTGGGAGAGGTGGTCAGGGGGATGTGACTTGTTTTAAATATGGCCAGTTGGGCCATAAGTCTCCAGTTTGTTTGCAGAGAGGAGGAGAGTAGCGAGCAACATCGTCTTCGGCTCGTTCTCAGGGCTAGAGTCAAGGTAAAAGGTAGCTGACCACTTGCTATCAGTGTGGATAGGCAGGGCATCTAAAGAGATCTTGCCCATAGTTGGGTGGCACATCTGGTATGTCTAGTTCGAGGCAGACACAGAGTCACCAGCCTGCACAGTCAGCACAAGCCTCGAGGGTCAATCAGGGAGCCTCTTCGACT